AGAAGGCATCAAGTGCGCTTTTCTCTCAATGTTTGGATAGGCATTGTTGGGGACTATCTTATAGGGCCATGGTTTTTACCCAACCGACTTAATGGTGTGTCTTACTTAAACTTTTTAACACAAGATCTTCCCGGATTGCTAGAAAACTTACCCCTTCATTTGAGAAACAATATGTGGTTTATGCAAGACGGTGCGCCACCACACTTTTCATTGGATGTAAGGCGACATTTAAATCAAGTGTTTGGAAATAAATGGATAGGGCGTGGGGGGCCCATCCCATGGCCTGCCAGGTCTCCTGACCTTAATCCCCTGGACTTTTTTGTATGGGGCTATTTAAAATCTTTGGTTTACCATACCCCTGTTGACAGTATTGAGGACTTAAGGGAACGAATTGTAGCAGGTTGTGAAGTGATAAGACAAAAGCCTGGGGTATTTGAAAGAGTGAGGGAGTCGATGAGAAAGAGGATGGTTTGTGTCGTAGAAATGAATGGAGGACACATGGAACATTTGTTGTAGTTGATAACTTTCAAAAAAGCTATCATTTGTTAAGATTTGATTTTGTATTTAATTAGTTTCCTCATTTTTTATGTTGTCACTCAATAAATGGTTTCAATATATCTCGGTTATTGTTTTGTTAATTTTAGATTACAAGTTTAAAATGGCCACCATTTTCAGATTTTAAATTGGACCAAGTTTAATTTTTTTCTACAGTAGGTCTCTTTTATCGAGTTTTATACAGGTCGGTTGAAAAAATATGAATTATACCAATTACAATTATTTTCTAAAAACAGCTGATCTGGTGATTGGGGCTATTTACAACAAATGGATTTTTTGCTGCCTCTTAACACACATTTTAATGTATCTCGGTTATTTTTTGTTCGATTTTCATGTTTTTGGTGTTGATAGATTGGAAATAAAATTTTATAAAAAAAAGTGTTCTTAGTACAATTTTGTATTTTTTACCGTTTTCCCGTAATTTTAGATTAAATGTTCAAAATGGCCGCCATTTTGAAATTTTAAATTGGACCAAGTTGAATTTTTTTTCTACAGTAGGTCTCTTTTATCTAAACATACTTACCGAGTTTTATAAGGATCGGTTGAAAAAATCAGAAGATATAAATTATTTAGTAAAAAATACAAAATGGCGGATATCTGGTAAACGAAGCGTTTTTGAAAAAAACTTTATTCTTGATTTTCTCTTTATTTTGACCCATAGAACCTATTCCCAGAGTTTGGCACTTTACTTATGGGACACCCTGTATAAAAAATTATACAGTCACTAAAAATCATGAAATAATTTATTTTTGTAAAAATATACAACCGACTTCAAACGCTCTAAAAAGAATGAAATAATTTCAATAAAGTAAACTTTTGTATTAGGCAAGCTCACGTATTTCAAGTCGGCGCGGCTCAAACTGCAAATATGATTGAAATCAAATATTGTGTGTGTATTTTGAAAATCAATAAATTTTAGCTGGATAACATAAATAGATAAAAAACATACTGAACTGTTTTGTTTATATATTAAAGGAAATATTTTCTTGTATTTTACGTTTACTTCAGAATAAATGCATTATGAAAATAACACACACAAATGTTCTATATGAATAGGAAAATAATTTAGTTTGATATTATGATAGGGAAAGAAGCTAGTTTAGTATTAAAACGTTACTTTTCCAAGTTAGAAACATTTAAATGCGTTATAATCTTTTTAAAGATACTCGTTAATACCACTATAATGCCGATCTCTTATTACGGTAATGAAATAACACTTAACGCATAACTATGAAAAAGACACGCAGATTAACAACTTTAGTTATAGATAGTCACCGGCAATATGGACACCCTCTTTCAATTTTGTATCAAAAATCATCATAGAGTCGCGCCGACTTAAAATACGTGAGCTTGTCTGATACAAAAGTTTACTTTATTGAAATTATTTCATTCTTTTTAGAGCGTTTGAAGTCGGTTGTATATTTTTACAAAAATAAATTATGTCCATGCATATTTAGTTCATCACAATATATTCAAATTTTACCCTGTGTCCTCCTCTTTTATGCTTAAGTAAAAATAAGAAAAATATGTGTTGTATGCAAACCATATTAGGCCTAAGCTCACTAATGCTGTCAAATTCGCCCTAAGACGCACACCGATTATTTGATGTGGGCCCTCCACACCAGCTAAGCCATACGTTAATAAGGATTGCACATGTAAGGAAATTCCAACTAAACATGCCTTTAAAATATTAATTTCTATCGTCGTAAATTTATGTACACAATCTTAGTATATAGTTGTAAGTTTATTCGTCCAATTGATACCTTGAATATATTCATTTCATAATTATCTAAGTGCCTTATATATATATTTTCTTTTCAATCAAAATTTATCTAGGTCCATTCGCCAGTACATTACCAAGTGATCAATGCACCATTTTGATGTCTTAGTAGTTTGCCCTGCGTCCTACAGAATGCGCAGTGTGTAAGTCTGAAGTACAAAAGTATCTACATACGACTCAGTCACACGATACTGCCTCAAGGTTGAAAGGAGAGTGGTTATCTAGGCTAAGATCATTTTGCAAAAGTATTGTCTACATTTTTTTCGTAGTTGTATTTTTATCTAATTCGTTTAAAACTCGAAAACAATTTTTTAAATCGTAATGACCTTTTAAAATTTTAAGAAAAATAAAACTATATTTTTGACAGTTTTACTCAGTTTTTCCTTATTTACCAAAATTATTGGTTGTGGACTTAGACAACTTTGAAATGAATATCTTCACTAGTCATTGTGATATTTATGTTTCACGATTTACTTTGTATATTAAAAATTTCACCGTTTCCCTTTTATGCCTAACCTCCTAGAGTTCAAACTCAATCAAGTATTTTGTATGGTAAATCATTCAAGAATGAAAAAAGTAACATAAAATAAATAATTCAAAGTAGCCTCCTCCATTGGGGTATGATAGCAAGAGTTTTAGAGGCTGCCTGGACCATTCGTCTTATAACAAATGGAACGCCGCAGCTGCTACGGCTTGAATTCGTGGTTTTATATTTCATCCTAAAGATAAAGTTTATCAAATGATTAGCTAACATTTACAGAAGCTATTTGAAACAACATTAAAAGTTATAACCATAAACATTTGTAATGATATGATATTTGTAAGTTTTCTTATGTAATACGTTTGAAGTTGAAAATTTAAATTATTTATAGCAATATTTGGCTTTGATTATTGATAAATCGATATTAATTAATTTCTATCCAGCATGGATAATTCTATGAAAGATTCCTACGAATTATATTGTCAAATAAACGTCATTACTGTAAAGTTAATATGAAAAAGTCAAGCATATTCTAAATATTTATTTAGCTTGATGAAGTAATAAATATAACCGCCCTTAAACTTCGTATATGAATTAGATATTATGATAGTTCACTAGTTATGACTTTTCTCGGGATCGATCCTGTAGTAGACATATGAACTGTGTTAAGAGGTTGTTCACGTCATGTGGACACTGTAGTCTTTATCAGATCCAATTAGACATCTTCTTCTCACATTCCCTATTAATATAAATATCTTCCTCGCATTTACGGAAACCCCTATAGAAAGGCATTGATGAAAACGAGGACAAAGTTTTCCAAAACATTAGGGTTATGTGTGGTTTCGCGTATTGCAAGTGTTTGTATGATAAGAAGACACTTATCTTACAATAGATAGTTAAAATCTTAAAATATTATATGTTTTCCGCTATGGATCCTGTTATATATTCTCGTTACGCGTGTCTTACGAAATACAGGGTGATTCTGAATTATTGTTATACTTTTGAAACTCTATAAATTAAAAACTGTACAACTTATCATCACAGGGTGAGAGAATCAATTGAAAGAGGAGATTGTAAAGTTATGGTTGACACCACTTTAGCTTTCTACCTTACTTCCTTCATTACTAAAATGTTTTATAGTAGGCCTATTGCATTTCATTTAAATTCCTAATTAGGCAATTGCATCATGAAAACACTTCATTTAAAGTTGAAAAATATATCTTTTTAACGAGATATGATCCATGTTTAATGCATAAACATTGCAAAGTACACAACTAACTAGATAGGTTGTACATCAATGACAGCGTAAAAGCACCCACTTGAAACAAGTGTTCTAAAAGAGCACTTTGCTGAAACAAGTATGGCGCTTTGGTTGATAAATTCCATCCCTCCTTTAGTGAAGATGCAAAATAAACCATACATCAAAGAAAATATTAAGTGCCCCTTTACATATCTTAATATTTCAATTAATTACAATGACGTATCTAAGTAGAATTTTGTCTAGATTTGGGATATATTAGAATGTTGTCTTTGCATAGTCGTAGTGTAAATAGGATTAAGGGAATGAGCTGGTCTAGTGGTAGAGCAAGGGACTTTGGTACCCGAGGTCCTTGGTTCAAATCCCGTCAATCAATAATGGATTTTATCCATGTGCTGATACCTTAACCCTTTAGGACTAGCCTGAAGTAATATTTAAAACTGTTCTGGGCCAGAACTAGCATTCTAGGATGTGAAGATGGACATATAAAAAGTGTAAATAATAGTATTGCTCCATGTGTATCATGATGGAATATCTATGTTTTAGTTATGAATATACACTAACTAACTGTATGTTTACTAATAAATAGGGTTGCAAAACTATGAAAGTTATTCTGAATATCTTAAGGGTTTTAACTTACATATAAGGAAATCATTCAACTAAATTATACTATATGATAATTTAGACTAAGATCAAATTTACTACTCATAAAGACAATGGCAACAGTTACCAATGATTTTAATATCTTTTAATATCTTTAATATCTTTTAGGATTTTAAACACTGGTCCTAATGTGTTCTAAGATTGTTAAGTTCACTAAAGACAAGCTTCACGGTGTTATCTCTATAACTGCTATCATTACATCAAGATTAACAGAAATGAATGAGATGTCTTTCTCAAATACATTCAATAAAATGTTGTGTTTGTTTGTGTGTCAACTTCTCATCTATGCCATGGGTAGTCAGGTTATTGATTTATTTCAAAATAATAACTTTTAGTATATATTATAGTATAACAATTAAAATAAAATATGGTACTGTGATTTTCTCAGGAAATAATTGTATTAACTACATTTATAAGTTAAGCTCCTAGTGCCTAATTTAATATTACTTGATTTGTATTGTTCCTATCTTCTGATAGTGATTTATATCTATTAAGTATTACTTTAGCGCCACTCATCCTGCACTCATATATGGGTTAAAATACGCACATAGTGGCGTCCCAATCTTAAATAATTGAATTGAATTTAACACTATAATAAGCTGAATAAAATTTGTTTAAGAGGTTGACGGCCTCTTTATATCTTGTACTGTTTTCCCCCGTCCACATAAGCCTTGGAGCTGTGTGAAGAACGTTTCCCCAGAAAATCAAGGTGTAGTCGGTAAAGGAACAGGGACAACTGAACTGATCAAAAGTAGTGGCAGGTACAGGAACTCAAGACATTGCTGTCTTGGGCGCGATGTTAGTGGCGCTACCGGTGCTTATAAATTCAAACTAAATATATTAGTTTATTTAATATAGTTGACATTATATATTTCAAATATTTGTTTCAAAATTATTAGTTATTTCAATTCATAATTGGATAATTTTATTGAATATTCAAGCATCAAGTATAAGTGTAACAGAACTATTTTCATAAATTGTCATTTTTTAAATATTATCTGTAAAATAAAAATACAGTCAATATTTTGTATCACTAAGAGCATCACTATATTACACATTTGGGGTGATTGTAAATTTTAAAGTTGATACAAGAAGGGAAAGCACAATGGTTGTTTGCCATATCAGAAACTATCTTAAATTTAAATTTTTAAACCTGTACCTTTTTTATGGTTGTTTGTTCCTATCTAAGACTATGAAACTTCAGCGTTGTGGACGCTTGGTAAAAAGCTGTACCTAACTGATATGAAAATAGCATATTACATCACTAGGAGCGACCATAAAGGCTCTTCCGCTCCGTGTGATAAACAACTATTTTCATCATACTGGGGAGATAATCTTTTAATCGTTACAAAATTAGATCAGACAATTTAAGGTTATACGAGAACATCATCAATATTTACATTTCTGTTGTTTACAAACATAACTTTGTAATACTTTTTTCATAATGTGTGTTTAAAATAGTAATACAATTATTTTAAATGTATTATAAACAAATTTTGAGGTTAGTAAACAGAAAATTTACCACATTTGTTTTTTTCTGTTCCCTACTTGAAGTTTACCCGAAAACAAATATTTTACGGGCGATTTGTGCTAAAAAATGCTGTTTTCCAGACAGTATGATGTTTTCCAGACAGTATGATGAAAAATGTATTTATATAATCTTTGTTCGTTTCTGTTGAAGGAACTTCTTACCATAGACAAAATTTGTCTATGTTCTTACAAAAAATTTGTTTACGCGTACAGTACTGGTTTTTAATTTGTAAAAAACTGTTTTCAGGAACGAGTGGCACAGATCTGCTTCTTGTCACAGACAAAGGTATCTCCCTGTACAACACAACAACAGGAGATATCAGGAAACTCATGTTGGAAAACGAGCTGATGATCAAAGAAGTGGATTTCCACTACAGACGGAACGAAGTGTATGGCCTTACTAGGAGACAGATCATCAAGTGAGTAAGTGCCTTGTAGAAGTTACTAACTGGAATGACACTTTACAGCGCTGATATGTAAAGCACTAGGAGATGGATCATCAACTGAGTAAATGCCTTTTGGTCGTCACTAATTGGCATGACACTTTACAGCAATAAGTCAGTACAGCACTAGGAGATGGATCATCAAATGAGTAAGTGCCTTGTAATAGTCAGTAAGTGACATGACTCTTTACAGTACTGATATGTATAGCACTAGGAGACAGATCACCAAGTGAGTAAGTTCCTTGTAATAGTCAGTAAGTGACATGACTCTTTACAGTACTGATATGTACAGCACTAGTAGACAGATCGTCAAGTGAGTAAGTGCCTTTTGGTCGTCACTAATTGGCATGACCCTTAACAGCACTGATTTGTACAGCACAAGGAGACAGATCATCAAGTGAATAAGTGTCTTGTAATATTCAATTAGCGGCATGACACATTTACAGCACTGATATGCACAGCACTAGTAGACAGATCGTCAAGTGAGTAAGTGCCTTGTAATAGTCAATCAGTGTCATGGCACTTTACAGCATTGTTTTTTACAACACTAGAAAACAGTGAGTAAGTGCCTTGTAATAGTCAATAAGTGGCATGACACTTTACAGTATATGTTTGTACAGCACTAGAAGACAGATCATCGAGTGAGTAAGTGCCCTGTGGTCGTCACTAAGTGCATCATTTTAGGTACTAGGGTGCACAGCTTTACTTAGAGAACATAGAGTGAGTGGGTGACCAGTAATAGTTAATAAATTTATTGTGATTTCACTTACTCTGATAGTTGGGCCTGACTTTCAAAGCTAGAAATATTGGAAATTACGAGGACGGTTTCTTTAAGTAAGAGCCGTTTTTGCGTATCTGTAGTTCGGTTGTACACCACATCGAATCTCCTCGTCACTTACTGGCATCATTTGGGAATATAATGACTCCCTTTCCAGCTTTGTAGCTGACATTATACGCTAAGCTAACGTGCTCGTAATATAAACAAATTTGGACATAACAAGTTAAAATTGGTGTAAGGATAAAATTTTGATTGGTTCTGATCGTAGTTGTTTTAAGAGGCAGTATCTTCGTTAACCTTGAGTAGTGCCAACAAAGTGTTCAAGTATTTTAAAAGTTTGATTTAGAGAATAGTTTTTTGTAAAAAAATTGTCAGTTAATACAGTAATGCTAAATACTTAACAGCGATTTAAAAAAAATTGTTTATAGAATTCAAATTTTTATTTCAGACTCAATCCATATATTCCATTAAATATAGTTTCTTGATTAACGTCAATTTTTCTCATCATTATTTAACTCTTAAAGTCGACTTCAGTACGACTCTTAAGTAAACACAACAGTTTTACCAATTAGTTATTCGTCAAACTGGCAACAACATTATGGAATGGCAATGTCGGCAACTTCTGTTGTTGGAGGTTTGTCAACACTTTTGCTGCAAATGACTTGCCGTCTCACAACTAATTTCCGAAGCATTAGGCTCTCGTAGGAGATCCAAGGTATCGGTTTTCTGTCATCACGTGTGGGTATTCTGAGCACGAACTGTGGAGTATCTTGTTTCCTTTGAAGCGCCTCTTTAGACACTCAGCAATTCCTACGTTTTATTGAGCACATACTATCTTTATCTTATTCGACATATCCATATTTAACACACTTATTATATTCAAGTCCTGTTGTACACATGGTGTTGTTTAACTGTCAATATGCTTTCTAACAGTAACTTCGTTATTTTCTGCAGAATTATACACACGATAATTGTTTTGGTAGCCGGGTGGGGTAATTGCACACATTTAGTTTTTTAAGCTCACTGGTTCAATTCTAAGAAGTTTCGTTTCTAGACTGAAATTACATTTATCATTGGGCTATCGAAGAGACACGTTAGATAGTAGCAATAATAGAGTCTGGGCTGTTCTCTTACAAAGAAATTCCAGTTGTTTCAATAAAACACTAATGAAGAAAACACAAATCTATATCTATAAAAGAGGAACTATGTATGTATGTATGTATGTGTGTGTGTGTGTGTGTATATACGTTATTGACTCCGAAGCCGCTCGACAGATTGTAATGAAACTTTCAGGCATTATTAAGCATCTTGCAAAGATGGTTCGAGTGAAGTTTGGTGCAGATCCGTCAAAAGGGCTCTGCCCCAGAGTGTTTTAAGTGGGCCAATGTCAGACTTTTTGATCTACATTGTTTACAAATAAATATAATTTAAAAGCAGATGTTTACTTTCACCAACTGTTTTGTAGGTTTGAATAATCACAACATTCTGTATTAGCATTAGTCATTATTTGAAATAGTGCCACAGTGTTTCTACAGAGTGCAGCACAGAAAACTATTTTACTTTAGAATAAGACCAAATGTATTAAACCCCAATCGCAGCACACCTGTGCACTTAACAAAGTTTAAATTCTCCAATGTTAAATATTGAAACATAAAAACCTTTATAAAAGTACTGTATTATAAACAATAAAAGGGATGAATTTTTAAATTGATGACAACAGCTAATTTGCAACCAAAAGGCGAGTAAGCGTAGCGAACGAACATCAACCTGGAGGCGAGTAAGCGTAGCGAACGAGCTAACCTGAAAACAAGTGAGCGCAGCGAACGATTTTCAACCTGAAGGTGAGTGAGCGTAGCGAACGAACTTCAACCAGGACGTGATTGAGCCATGCGAATACTTATGAAGTTAAGCGGGGCAAAGCCTGAGGGTACAGCTAGTATAGATATAATAATATAAAAGGTGCTTGTTGTTTGTATTCACGTTCAATTGTACAATAATGTCTAACGTGGTTTTATTACTTCAAAATACCTTCTCATTTCTTAATACAAATTAAAAGGATGGATTTTTTTACGTTTACAAAATAATATTCTTCACATATAAAAGACTTAATTACTATTTATAGGCGTATGTTTCATTTTAACAATACAAATTGTTTACCAAATTATAATTGCCAAAACAATGGTTTTTTTTGTAATACAATCGAATCTTACACTGACATCTGTATCAGGTCCTTACAACATGGTAAATTACTTTTTATTTTATCTCTAAAAGCTAGTTGGGAAATAACTCATGCCTTTAACCTCAATACCATGCCAAGATTGTTAATTAAAATCAAGGCATTGCTAAGGTGAGATGTCCCACATTTTCCTTTTGATTAACCTAACATCTTTGACCTTTAACTTTGTTTTTGTTTTCTCAGACCTCCGTTGCCTCTTTACAAAGTCAAAGTCCTAAACCAACATTCAGCACATTACTGTAATTCTCTCATTTTCTTTCCCATTTTTACCACCAAAATGAAACTGTTTAATTTTTCAATAGTCTAGGGGTTTAAAAATACCTGGCCACATAGAAATTTAAAGTTACCAGTGTAAAAAAAAACCAGCTGATATATTACATTAGATCAATCAAATAATCTAATATTACAACCGGTAGGGTAAAAAATATTAAATTGTACAACTTTAATCATATTTTTTTTAATTTGTAGAGGATAGCTTTCTTTTATTTTGGTATTCAAGATTTAATTGTTATGGGATTGTTGTGTCTACTTACATATATGTATGTTAAATACATATATCTTCATATATTTTTACATAAATATGTTTGCATCATGTTCAATAAATGTGTTATTTTGGATTTACTGCTTGAATACTTTTATGTAATGGGCTCTCTCTTAAAATATTTAGTTTTGGACAGCAACAAAATGTATAAAAACTACTTATAAGTATACTAAATTATTTATAAAGTACATATTACCATTATATTCGTTATTGATAGAAGAATATGCACATTTAACAGGAACGATAAATATTGTTTACGTTTAAATAGCCAAAACATTTGACCTTTTGTCAATTTTAACAATAAAATACACAAAAATAGCCGTTTTACAATGGTTACACACTATATTAACGATGTAGGTCTTACACATCCACCGTTGTCTTTACAAGCAATAATTTATAATCGTACAGTATTGTTTGATAGATCATCTTTCTTTCAATACAAGTGTTATCATGCTACTTAGTTGATGTGTTATGTGTGATGGCGCTGATAATCATCTAAAAATATTTTAAATACATTTAGTTATTTGTCAAACTGAGAATGACAGCGTGAAATGGCAAAGTCGGCAACTTCTGCAGTTGACAGTTTGTCAACACTTTTGCTGAAAATAACTTGACGTCAATTATTGAAAATAAATATACGTTTCTTTAAAACTGTCCACTTGAAAAACTCTACCTATATTTGCACTTATTAAAAGGAGTTAGATCCTTTTAATTTGTTGTGAAGTAAAGAATCCTAAATTGATTTTGGTGTCGTATAAAATAATTAATGATAACCCAAATGCTTCGACTTAGACATAATTACCTGTAGAGCTTTTATTTTATTAAGATTTTATTCCGCAGTATTGTGAGTAAATGGTTGTGTCAAGTTTTAAAACGTTTCTTTTGAATGGACGATTTTAAACTTTTATGACACTTTAAATGTCGGTACTTTGGTATTATACGGAGGCCACCCTTATACAGCACCTGCTGTAGTTGTATTTGGTTGGGTTATCATAAATAGAAAGTATGACACATCTGGTATAGTTCGATTCATAACGAAACGAGGAAATTCCTACAAACATATTTATGATATGTCATAATGTTATATTATGACCCAACCTAACATAACCACCACAGTGCGTAGTAAAATATGACTTCGTATGATACCAAAGTATATATTAAACGAGCGATAATTTTACCTTGAACCCTTTTGATTACAATATAGTCACTGTATTAAAAATCATCCATTTCCAATTACAGATGTCCATTGTCAAACGCACAAAGCTACACGTACAAACCAGTGGTGTACAGCGAAGACGAGTACAACTTTATGTCAATGGCCATAGATTGGGTGAACGACAGACTCTATTGGACAGCTGGTCCAGTGTTTATGATTCACAAGACTACACTCAATGGATCAGATCATAGAGTCGTCTTTAGAGGATACTACATAGAGAACTTCCACAGGAAACTGCTAGTGGACCCTTACGCTAAGTGAGTTTTGCTTTTGTTTTGCTCTTAAAGAAAGCATAATGTTTAGAACAGTACAAATAAGTGCACTTTTGAGGGAGGGAGAGGAAATGGTCAAAGCCATTCAAGGTCATTTGTGAGGATCATGATTCGAGCTATTTTACTACAAGGTCACAGATTGGCTAGCAAGGGGTCCGTATAATATTGTCTACACTCATTTCATTATCTGCTGTATTTAATTACGTTCGAAAGGGGGAAATCCCAGAATGGAGGAGAACAGTCTCTTTGGCTGGAGTATTCTGTCAAATCTAATTTTTTTTGTAATGGCCTTAGTTTAATTTTCAGTTCCTAGTGCATACATTTAGGGCATTAATAGGTCTCTCCTACAAAATTTTCAACTTATGTAATTTTATTTTTTCTTCATATTACCGCTGCATTAGTTTTATTTCTCCTTATGCCAGTTGACTGTTAAAAAAAACTGTGATACACCAACAGTATTTATTCATACAAGTAATTATTTTCACTTTTTATCGTTGAGCCTACTCAATACTGTAGGATGTTAACTGTAACTCAAATCAGTTGAGTTACGATATAAAATTTAAAAAATCATCAAAAACAATGTATAAGTAACGATAAATTTGAGATTCTTAAACAGTCAAAGGTGTTACCATTTTTTTGTGCTCATACAAAATCGTCTGAATTCACAACAAATATTTGTCACAAATTATAAGCGATATTAATGCACTAAGAACAATTGAAACACTTTCATTTTGAAGTTGCACATTTTAGTACTTTACCCTCTGAACATGAAAATGTCAAATATCTTCAAATAACATTGACATTATTTACAGTGAAAAACAAAAATGGTCTATAGACACGAATACTCAATTTCCATCAATGCCCTAAGACTCATAATACGCCTAAAGGCAGAATACTTTTGCTCTCATTCAGTAATGAGTTGATATCAAAATCGTAAACAAAGTACGATAACGTGGGTTGAAACTAGAACCAAACTCAACAAAAAATGCCTTTGATATAGCCAGCATGGGCGGTGTGTTTGAGTTAGTAACAAAGCCAATATGGATTACAGACGAATGATCGCTGCAAACTCGCAATATTTTTATCTCCATTTTTACATGTAGGATTACGTATCGATATAATTAAATGTTTGGTTCTTCCGTGTTACTTCATTCGAAAAATATTTCAACGTCCTGGAATATATACTTTTATCTGCCCTCAACAGGAATTATATTTAATATTTATTGACTAATACCCCATTAAAAATATCAGTTTGAATGTATCTTCACGGGTACCTGGTTTTTTATTTGTAAGCTACTCTAATTCTACTCTGATTTTAATATTTGTTTGTCTTAAGAATCAGTTTATCTCAAATATCAGCAAAGCTACACACACAGGTAAAAGTCCATTTTATAGTCTCTAGATATCCTTTATGTTAAACAATATGGTTTCTTATAATCATGTTTAGTCATTATTTTGCTAAACAAAATGATGCTATCGTTATTTTCATGTTCTAACGTGTTGTAATATTTGAAAATTTAACACTTTCTACAAAAAAATCAGTACCACTTTGTTGACTAAATGTAGAGCGAGGAACAGAAGCATACATTTTTAAAACTAATCGCTTAATTCTTACTCATGTCATTTATGTAGTATTATTTTACGGATTGTGCGCGACCCTATCTCAACTAACAACACAAAGATGATGGCGAATACTCTCATGTCCCTAGGTTACTTATTTGGGCCGCCTCCAGCACCATCTACAGAAGCGACCTGGACGGCCAAGACCTCCAAGAGATTCGGTACCCAGAGGTCCTAGGCAATGTGAGAGCCATCGTCCGCAACCTGGCCCTAGATGTTACCAGAGGCCGCCTCTACTTCCTGGCGGGCTTCGAGGACGACGACGTCTGGCTACTGATGTCAGGGAGGTACGATGGGTCGGAGTTCCGCAGACATGACTCTGTCTCTAGGTAAGGGTTTACACGGATACGTTAAATGTTATTGTATGTTAGCTGAAAACCTAATGTAACTGTTTTAGGATTATGAACTCTTCAGCATAACGTTAGCTATGCGTAAAACCCGGTTACCAAGGCAATGGTGATAAACGTTTATTTTACGACTTTCTGATATAGTTTGTGGACAAAATCTTTGTGTTTAGTTGAGAAAGGTTTTTAAAATGATTAGTACAAAAATATGCCTCTAAGGCGTTTAAGGTAAAAAAACTACAAATATTTTCTCAAAAACCTAAAATGCATTTACACGTTCAAAAACGTTTATTTTAATTTAAACAGCTAAGGACGACAATGTGTGTATAAATGAAATTAAATTAAATGAAATGCTTTATTGTCGTTAAAACTAAAACCGGTTACCAAGTACAAAGTTCATGAAAATCGTCAAAAGAAAAAGAAAAATAGGTTGGAAAATTCTAAATATAGGTTATCGATTTAAGGGAAATGACGTTTGAGATGTAAAATCAAGTCTTTCGTCTGATTTATATTGAATTTTGTACTTCTACTATTTTTGTCTTGTATGTAAATAAAATACATTAAAATTCTCCTTTTATTTGTCAGTCTCCCTTCACCTCATACCTTTTTCTTCCCTTTCCAATTTCCTGTGTTCAAATTCTTCCTGTTTCAGTTGAAAAGTTTTATGTTGAAAACATGAGTCAAGATATTCGTTCTCTTAAAGAATATATTTTACAGATTTACTTACTCACTGACAGCACTTGGCGATGACATTTACTGGGTGTCTAAGGAGTTTGGAGAAGCTAAGGACCACGCAAGGGACCACACCAAAAGACCTCACACCATCGTCCTGTACAAAGCCTCTGCTCTAGTCGTCGGTTCTCAGCAGAAGATACTAGACCTGCAAACAGGGGTGAGAATCTCCATTATATTTTCTGTACCGCATTCCCATCCTAGGGTGCGAGAACGAAATGTTATCTAATTATAATCTTGACTGCATCTCTCACTACGGCCAAAACGTTTTCTATGTAATCCGACATTTGGCATCAGATGAAAAAATGCTCTGACTGGACCCTAAACAAGTGTCCCTTGCAAAGGTATGTGATTTTAAACCTTAACTTGAAAGCAAGTACAGTTTGCATCAACTTGCATGTCGCGCTACATGATAGTGTAATCCAGGCTTCCTGAATCGTTCTACGCATTATTTTAGGCAGTTTGCGGCATTATCATTTAGGTAAATATTGGTGATTGGCAGGATTTGAACCCGGTACCTTGGTGACCCCATGCGCTATACCATTAGACAAGTCCCTTCATTAATGTACTATCATCCACCTTTGGATGATGAAGTGGACACCCTATATGGACCGCTGTAGCCAAATATTTTATTGAAAAAGAAAATAGAAATGAACCTGTCACATACTGTAGTAGTCTATGATAAATTCTATCGCATTCTCTCTTATTTTTTCATGACTATGATCACATGTGGTCACACTTTAGTTTACGCCCCACATTTACTATTATACATTATGTTCTAAACTAACCTAACCTATCCAAACATGATGTATGTGAGTAAATGTTTGACGTAAACTGTATTAAACCCATTAAATCAGAATTGATCATGATAGAATAATCTAGGTAAAAGTATTTTATTAGTATCAATCAACTCCCAGTAAACAAAAACAATTAACACATGATAATAAACTAAAATGACAATAGTCAGTAGAGCCAACCATTACATCTCCCTCTTTAAAGGTTGAGTTTCTGGGGAGGTTTTATAAGTCGTCTTGATCGGGTTGTTATGTTAGCAGAAGACATTCCAGAGGTGTTTGGAGGAACCGTTGAAAAGTTTGGCATGTCTTCATGATGATCCATCGGACCTCTTGTTAATGGTTGACTGTTACGGTTATCTGTTGAAAAGTTTGTTAAGCACATACCGTTGTCTTCCTCAGATCGATGATCCTTCTGACTACTTGTTGATGGTTGATGGTTGTGGCAATGATCCTTCTGACTATTTGTTGATGCTTGATGGTTGTGGTAACTTTCCTTTTGAATGTTTGGCATTGGTTGTAAGTGAAACCGGTTTCTTCGAACTATGGTTCCTTTGTCCGTCAGTACTTTATAAGATCGTGGTGAGTTTAACTTTTCTACGACTTTTCCTTCACGTTTCAAATCAGATATCCAAACTTTGGTTCCTGGGTTCATATCTGATAAGGGTCGAGCACCATGTCGTCGATCGTAATTTCGTTTGTAATTTTGTCTATAATGATTCTCCTTCTCTCGGAGATGACTGAAGTCTGGCTTGTTCTCCAGATGACATGGTAAGGTAGGCAAATTGTCCCGTAGTCTGCGTCCATATAATAACTGTGCTGGACTGTAACCGTTGGCCAGTGGAGAGTTCCTGTAAGACAACAAAGCTAAATATGGATCTCCTTTGTTCTTCTTTAGAACAGCTTTTGCAATTTTTACAGCTGCTTCGGCTGAGCCATTGCTCTGATGAAACTGAGGACTGCTTGTTTTGCATAAAAAGTTGTACTCTTTGGCAAATTTTCTGAATTCTGCACTAGTGATGCCAAACTGCGTTCCACTATCTGAGTATAAAACTTCAGGAATACCGTGGCGAGAAAACGTTGACTTGCATTTCTCAATAACTTCAGATGCAGTGAGCGATTGTAGAGTTGCAATCTCAAAATATCTCGAGAACTGATCTGTTATAACAATGAACCATTTGCCATTAAGCTTGAACAAATCCATTGCTGCCTTTTCCCATGGACGTTTTGGAAACTCGGAAGGAATGAGCGGCTCATTTCGATTTTCTCTGTGTTTGATGCATGTTGGGCATGAAGCTACCATCATATTTATATCTGATGCCATTCCTGGCCACCATAAACTGAATCTAGCCTTTTCTCGACATTTGGTGGCTCCTAGATGACCGACGTGTATTCTATGAAGCATTTCTTGACAAAGACTTGATGGTACTATTATTCTAGAATTGCGTAAAAGTAAGTTGTCCATCAGTGATATCTCATCTTTAACCGAGAAGTAGGGGACTAATTGAGATGGAAGTTGTGATTTTTCTGGCCATCCAGTATGACAGTATACTGCAATCTTTCTGAAGATGGGATCTGCTTGCTGAGCTTCCCGTAACCTGTTTATGTTTTCATCAGTCGTAGGTATGTTTTCAACCACATTTTGAACAAAAGCTTCAATTTCTTCTTCCATGTCATATGTTTCCTTGCTTGGAATGGGGCATCTTGAAAGACAGTCTGCTGGTGCAAGGTGTTTTCCAGGCGTATATGTCACTGAATATGAGTATCTCATCATGCGAAGCCTCATTCGCTGTAAGCGAGGTGTAATGTCATCCAAATTCTTAGATGATAAGATTTTTACAAGTGGCTTGTGATCCGTTTCAATTACAATCTCTCGACCAATTATATAGTCTCTGAGCTTGTCACAAGCCCATGTGATTGCCAGGGCTTCACGTTCAATATTTGAATATGATTTTTCAGCTTCTGTAAGTGACCTTGAAATGTAAGAAACAGGTCTGAATTTACCATCATGATGTTTCTGAAGAAGCAATCCGCCGAGACCATAAGAAGAAGCGTCTGCTGACACAAGAGTTGGTAAGCGAGGGTCGTAAAATGCTAGTTGGGGTGCTGAGGTCAGAAGTTTTTTTATACTTTCAAACGCATGCTGTTGTTGTTCTCCCCAAAACCATTCATTTTTCTCTTTAAGTAGATCATGGATTGGTTTTAGTATTTCTGATCGATTTGGTATGTATTTACCAAAAAAAAAATCATTCCTAAGAAGCGTTGTACTTCTTTTATATCAGATGGAGGTTTCATCTCAAGAATGGCTTTGACTCTTTCATGGCTGATTTGAACCCCTCGGGATGAAAGGTGATGTCCTAAGAATTGTACTTCTGGCTGAGAAAATACACATTTGTCTTTATTCAATGTAATTCCAGCATTTCTGAGTTTCTTTAAAACTTCATTTAAGATCAAGTCATGTTCCTCTTGACTGGAACCCCATACAAGTATGTCATCGATGTGAGCTAAACAGTTTCGTTGAGATCCTAAGGTTTCTTGAATTCGTTTCTGGAAATACTCGGGAGCACTTGTGATACCAAATGGAAGAACTTTGAATTTGTATCGGCCCCAAGGAGTTAAAAACGTGGTGAGATCTTGAGATTCTTCTGCAAGAGCTATTTGCCAAAACCCATGGTTGGCATCCAGTTTGGAAAAGACTTTGGCATCTTTTATTCGAGCCATCGTATAATCAATGCCCCAAATAGGATGAGTTTGTCGAAACACATTCTTATTAAGCATAGTAAGGTCCACACATATTCGAACCTGAGTTCTATCTTTCTTAGGCACCACGACCATAGGTGCGCACCAAGAAGTAGCGTGATCAACGGGTGTTATAACGTCCATATTCACCATATTTTCAATCTCCTTCTTTGTTTTTTCCCAAAGAGGTACTGGAATCCGTCGAGGAACTGATATCGCATAAGGTTTTGCATCATTTTTAAGTTCAATTTCGTAGCTCCCCTTCATTTTTCCTAGACCACTGAAAAGGTCAGGAAAGTTTTTGATCCAATCATTAGCAGATTTGTTGAAATTAGTTTTCGATACCTCACGAATAACCGGTATTATTTTTAGTTTTTCTATTGCTGGTTTGCCAAGTAGTGGTGTTGTGCATTTGTCAGCCACATACATTTTTTCCATACACGATTGTCCTTTGTAAGAGAGTTTTGCAGTGATTGTGCCAAGAACAGAAAGAGGCGATCCTCCAGCCGCACTTAAAGTTCTCTGGGTAGGCTGGACTGCAATTTTTTTGCTTAGCTTTATGTTGGATGGTATTACTGTCACGTCAGCTCCTGTGTCGATTTTGAACTTGACAGTGTCTTCATTAAGTCTTACATTTATTGTCCAGGGATCATTTTTTGTTTTACTAGAATACACACACCCAATGAATTTTTTCGATGGGTCTGGTTCATTAGCGATTTGGGTAAAGTCATCTGAACGATCCAAGTCTATTTCTCGAACATTGTTTTGAAGACAACAGTGTGAAAAGTGGCCATTTCGCTTGCACCTAGAACATTTGCGATCTTTTGCTGGACGCTGGACACAGACCTCTTCGATGAGAAGGGGTTGAACCACACCAAATACAAGAGTTGGGATAGCTCTTGACATTTGAGCTTGAATACGTTAATCTCCCTTGATCCCTATTTTTTCTTTTGGATGAATGTATTGCATTATCATATCTAGCACGTTGATTTTTATTTACAGCTTCGATTGATGGGAGGGTCAATTCTTCTTTTTGTCGTTTCAATTCTTCTGATTTGCGAAGTGAAGTTATTGCAGATTCCAATGTAACTTTATTTTCTAATTGTAGTTTATCACTCAAATCTTGATCACGCATACCAATAATAATGACCATTAATAACATTTCATCTTCAAGCGTTCCCCATTCACAGGTACGAGCAAGAGAATATAAATCTGTCACAAAATCTTCTGCAGTTTCTGTTAGTCCTTGTTTTCTACGTAGAAATTTGGCTCTTTCATAAATAATATTCTCCTTTGGATTGAAGTGCCCATCAAATTTGTCCATGACTGTTTTATACTTTGTTTCTTCGTTGGTCATTTTGAAGGATGAGAATATTTCTTCTGATTTTGGGCCCATTGCATATATGAGTGTACTCACTTGTTTTTCTTCAGATGATTGATCCAAATCACTAATTGTTATAAATCTTTCGAAACGTTTTTTCCATGGTGACCATTCCGCTGGTTGGAAGGAAAAAGGTTCAGGCATTCTTACTTGTGTATGAGCCATGATAAACTTTTTTGATAATGGTAGATACCACAAAAGTTGTTGATATGTTTGTATAGGTAAAAAAGTTAAATTTCAGTGTCA